GAGATGTAATTGTTTTGCTGCTTTCTACCATCCAGATACAACAAACATAACGCAAATAGAGATGTCCAATGCCAATCTAAAGATAGCAAATAATGGAAATAGAAAAGGGTCAACGCCATATTGAAACCCATAATGCAATACAAGAATTCTTGGGATGCGCCCAATCCCAATCCCAATCCCAATCTTTGGTGACTTGTTACTGTGCATTGTCGGCCATCATTATTTTTCTGACTCCTCGTTGCTTACTTGTAAACTCAAAGTTTCATATAAATGTCCACCTCAACCCCAACCCATTTTAACGACATCCTCATTCATGATAATTGATATTTTAGAAATATCATGATATGGTGATGGATAAATGCTCATTGATGGAAGAAATGGGTGTTCACTCCACTCTAGGCAACATATTAATGTCCATCACCATCCTGTTTTCCATACAAGCTTAGCGCTTCTCTCATTTATGAGATAAATATTCAATTAGCTGTCTAACCAATAATGTTCAGTACTATGCATTTTTTAGATATGACATGAAATATATACAAACTATTTTCACTGAACCCATGAAAACCATTTCTTTCCTCATCTAAACGGGCATCCACTTCAACACATAGAAATGCATTGGATGAAATAAAGAGAGCACAAAATACGTCTACTAATCGGAAAAGCTTTTTTCTTTTAGAAAACTTAACATGTATAAATGCAGCAAGGGTCATATTTTTTCCTTTGATTCCGTATAATTAAAAAAGACAAAGGTATTGATTACAACTCAGGGAACATAACACATGAGCATGTCACTTCTTCTGATTTTGGAGATACCTTCCAATCCACTGGCCTTTCTGGGCAGTCCAAGAACAGATTCTAATTAATATACATCCGCCATTTGCCTATGCAAGAACAGGGACGAAACCTTTGTTAAGAGCATTCTCAGTCACTCAAACTAATTAGAATAACTGGAACAACAAGCTTGTTGATCCATCCCCAAATGATCGTAAGTCTGCAGCTTTAACCAAAGCCCTGCAGAGAGGGCAAGTTCTTTCTCTCTCCAACCTGAAATATAATCATCAGATGGTCAACAAATGAAACTTATTATGGTAATTGTACACGCTACATAGTTTATGTATGCCCCCTACTCACAGAAACCTTCTAAGCTTGATGCAGCAGAAAATGGCCTTCACAAGCTAGCATAAATAAAATTTCAGTATATAAAGGTTGGAGAAAAATCGAAGTTACTAACCAGTTGACAATGATATACTAGACTTCCTTTATAATAGGGGCAATAATTCTTATTAATTGAAGGTTCTGATCAATTACAAAACACAAGTTCTTCACGAGTGATCACCAGTGTTTCTGGATTTCCTCTCCAATTATGTTCCCAGGAGTGAAGATTTTGGCAGATTGGAATTATAAGGCATTTGAACCACATAAGTTCAATTTAACTATACCTTAAAATCCAATTCACAAAAATCTTATTGCACGATCCAATGCGTAAGTTTAAACCTAACATATGAATAAATAATAAAGTATCCATGAGCAACATATTGTGTTTATCATTTCTCTCTTGCCACTCACCACTATATACACAGTATATTAGGTCCAAAAAGTAGTAGTTGGGTCATTTAAGAGCAAGTTTCTCGGAGGCATACAAAGGAAGAATGCACAATCAAACAAAACCTACACCATCCAACTTTAACAATGTAGCCATTGAAATATTAAGTGTAAAACACAAGATTACAAACTTACCATTCAGAAACACAGTCCTCGCAAAATATGTGTTTACATCGCAATAAAACAGGAACATGCATCTTCTCTTGGCAAATTGCACAGAGGTCTCCAGCTGCATTTACCTGCATTAGATCATCTAGAGTTCAGACTTCAGAATGAGTAGATTATTTAATCAGGAGAAAAATAACTCACTTATGAAGATCAACATTCACGTTACAAAATACTATCACATATACATGATTTGCAAAAAGGTAACAACTGAACATGTGAAATGTTGACAACTATATAAGAAACATGAAACCTGAAAACAGTTACCCACTGTTCCTAAAGTGATATATGTAACCTATGTCTCCACCATATGCAACAAGTCTCTATCAAGAAATATGGAACACTCATGAAATCTGACCTGAAATTGAAAACACCAATCTCCTAGATCAAGAAAGAACTAGTATAAGCAGGTTGAGTTGTGCAGGAACCCCAAGGGACAAGGCTTAAGTTAGTTTCAACTCCGTAAAAGAAAGGACATAATTAGCAAAACTCCACCACACCAAGCCCGTTGAATTTTCCCTTAACAAGTTATTAAGCTACTGTTGCAATCATGCATCATGAAGTTGTTGTATCCCTCATTACTTCCTATCACAAACCATCACCATTCACTGATTTTCTACCATAAAAAGAAATACCAGTTTGGTCCATTAATTTAAATAATGCAATCATTGCAGCAGGACCTCACGCTATATAATGCAATCATCGCAACAAAAAACATAGATTAGAGTTTAATTTGACAGAAAATACAATGAAAAGATCAATCAAAAAGCTTTTCAGAAAATAAGTAAAACTACACAATTGTACCTGTTCCATTGTAGCATAAGACCCATAATGAACTTCCTTCCTTGACAATGCCCTTAAGGCAGCAAAGAGAGATTGCACCTGGCAAGAAACTAAAAGTGTCAGGACTAACACCCCGGTCAATCTAATCTAATCCCTATGAAGTATTTCTAAGAGAACCAAGAGAATATGAAAGCTGTAAAGATAAATGCAAACATTGACAGATGAAAGCCTACGACTCTACCTTCTCAACAATGGTGGTAAGCTTGAAAGTTAAATACAGCCCTGTGGTCAATGATGAAAAGAGGCTTCCATAATCTTTGTTCAAGAAAAATCGGTACCAGACCGGTGCTGGCAACAGTGCACGGTAAAACAGCAGAGCATACTCGATCAAAGTTAGAATTTGACCCTGAAAAACAAAATGCAAACTGTCAGAGAGTTCTGAAAATTTGAAAAAGATATTTGCAGTTCCAAATTATATCTGAAAGTAATTTTATTATGCCTGGAATTGCATTACCTGCCGGCGGAAATTATGGCCTCTGCCACTCTTATAATAAATTAGTAGTAGACACTTAAGAGCCATTGCTGCCTGCCTCACCATTGCATCTAGAAGCGATAAAATATTACCAACAAGTCAGCATTCAAGATTTCAACAATGAAAGATAAAGAAGGCTAATGTGATTAAGGCATATATGACATGACAAGCAATACTAACAACAAATTGAACAAACTAATAAGAGCGAACATGGAATCTCATAGAAAACTGCACACATTTTGGTCAACCGAAAATTAATATATATTCTCTTGAAAAGGATACTGAACCAAATTATAACCACCACTAAAACTTTATTAACAACATTTACTTTAGTGTTCCAACATGGTTAAAGGACATCCAAAATATTTACTGTATATATTCTATCACTGCAAACAATAACAATAAACACATGAATAGTTAAATTCATACCATTCACTAGGATGATGAATATAGCATGCCAGAAAGGTGGAATTGTTTTCGGAGGAATCAAGACCAATGGATATAAAAGATCATCATGTCGAAACCACCAGTAAATTCCAACCACATGAAGCATAAAACCGATAGAGATTACGATGAGAACAGAGTTTTTCCTCTCTCCCTGCAGAAACCAACAAGAAATTAGATTTTCCTGTTCTTCACTGTGGGAAAATAAGGGTTGGAAATGAATTCAAGTAAGGAGCTTTAAAAATTGGAAGACATGGAAGCACCTTTAAAGCAGTCTGCTTTCGAAGGATATCATTCGACTTAAAAATCATTACTGTAATCCAAACTGTAACGAAAAAGCCTGCAAGTCCTCCCAAAAAGAAATTTTGCACTAAATCAAAATTTTATCCAAAGACTTAAAATGAGAAACACAAGAAAATACTAAAGAAAAACAGATAACTGAAAACAAAGGCTATTGATATATCACTTAATGTTGGTGTTCTTTGGTTGAAGGCAATAATCTTAAGTTCAATACTTACAAAAAGATAAGGAGAAAAAAGTACTTTATGAATCTTTTCTCCGAGATTTATTTCTCTTTTCATCTCGTTTGGCATTTAAGTACTAACTAGAAAACAATTAGAAACAAAACCTAAATGCTTTTGTTATGGATTGGAAATGAGCATCATATATAATTTCCCGAAGCACACACATTCCTTCTCAGCTTGTGAAATTGAACAGTAATAATAACATAAACAACATGTAAAAGATGGATAATGAGAACTAATACCTTGCAAATGCTGTCGAATGAAGACAACCAGCAAGAGTAATGAAAATGGAAGAACTTGTTCGACCCACCGAGCAAGCTGCTGAATATCATAACTTCGGTAAGAATTATCACGAGAAGTATTACCTTCAACTGAAGGAGGCACCAATGGAAGCGTTTCCCCAGCCCCTAATGGATTTGCCTGCTCATTTTCCAACACTGCCTCTGTGGTTTCGGTTTCAGCATTCTCCGGTCTAATTATCTGAATTGAAACCTCCCCAGGACTCACACTGCTTAGATTGTCAATGGAATTGGGCGACTGGGTCTGAATATCACCAACAGGGTAAGAATCTTGATGGGCAGAGATAGAAGTGGCCGAAACCACACGGGAATATTCGAGTAGAAGAGATAATGGTGAGTGAAACAAGTTTAGCAAAACCCCATAGCTGGTAGAATTATTATTACTAGTATTAGAGGTAGAGGTTGTAGCCGTGTTGTTAGTTAGAGATGAAGAAGGATCCACGTAGGGATCAGGAGTAGTTACAGGTGAGGTTTCCATTTTAATACACCAAACGAGACGCCTAACCCTTCTGATAAAAAAGAGTTTAAGAGTATACCCGAAACGAAATTATAAAAATTTCACAACTGAAGAAAACTATACAATCAAATAAAGAGAAAATTATCGAAAGAAAAGAATTTTATGTTGAAAGTTACCTTAAACATTAGATTAGAGACAAAGTATTAACAGGCTGGAGGGCTTGAGAAGAGAATGAAAGGTCGAAAGATTTAGGTGTGATATTTCAAACCGGGTCTCTTGCACACAAAGATTATGTTTTTGTAATGAAAGCTAGCAACTTGATTATGATAAGAAGCTTAAGATGAAGAACGAATGAGATAGTTCCTGGGATTAAAAGAAAGAAAAGAGAGAAGAAGGATCATGCTTGACTTCATCCTACGTGCTTTCTTTCTCTCTACGCTGCAAAAATGAACGCGTCTACTTTTATCTCTTTTTCCTTTTGAAAATCTCTTGCCTTCTGCGAAAGAGCCAGAGTAGTGGTTGTCTAAAATATTATTATGCAGTAACGTGTTAAATTATTCATCGTCTTGCGGCTTTTTTTTTCTTTTTTTTTTTTAAATAATAATACTTATACATACCAGTTTTACAAAACATACCAGTTTTACAAATATTTGTGTATAAATTCATGTGTCACAAAATAAATGAAAACTAAATATGATAAGATTAACTTTTTATATTCACTCTTTTATTTATTTTATACCACATCAATTTATATTTGTTCACTCTTTTATTTATTATAGTTATTTTAATTATAGGGCTGTTACTATGCAACTTACGATCTAGAAATACAAATTCAATTTAAATGACTTGATGAAGAAAAATATTAAATCATATTCATATTTACCATGTATTGTCTTATTGATTGAGAATAAGAAAAATATGAAATGATATTCATATTTATCATCTATTGTTAATGGATGAAGTCAAAGCTTTTAGGTGGGAACACTATGAAATGATCTGATTGGATATCCCAAGTTATGCGCTTGCTGACTACAGCTTCAATGGTCAAATTTCAAATAAACATTATTATAACATTAATTTTATTTGCATTTTGCACAGTTCTACCAAAGCCAAGAACAAAGCATTCCATAAGCACATTCCGCCCCAAGCAACACCTTGGTAACGTGTAAGTTTTCAAGTTACAAATCAAGTTGCATACACCAACACGCACCCCGGCCAAAACCAAAGAAACCAAAAGACAAGAGAAAGCTTTTCGAGGTCTTTAATTAGCCCCTCCAGTTGTCCTTTCGCTGCCTTATCTCCCGGAGAGCTTCCACTGGCGCATGGCAACCAACCAACTCCTGCAGATGAAGCAAAAATATCTGCATAAGAAAGCTTGCATAACAAAGCATTCTACACCAGTGATAAATGAGATAACAGATACTAATGAAAAAAACTATAGCTTGATTGGCCTTGAATTATTTGAATGGTATTTAATTGTCATTCAACATAAACTGAAAGGTTAATCTTTCGGTGAACTAGAAGACCTGAAGCTCTGGTAGATCAACCCTCATAAATGGGTTAGTCTCCATCTCTTCGTCAATGGTTGAAGGGATGGTTGGCAGGCCTGCTTGTCGCTGTTGCTGAGCCCATGATAGTTTTTGCTGTATCTTCACATTATTTGGTTCGACAGTCAGAGCAAATTGGAGGTTCTTCACAGTGTACTGGAAAAATATCAACTCAAAACATTATTTTAACTATCAAACATAAGACAGATCAACATAAAAGATAAATCCACGAAACAAAAACACTAAGCTTGTAAGCTTGTTCTTTTAAGAAAAAAATTACATATTCCATTTGAACACAACATTCCATTAGAACATAACAAGTTTCAACAAATGCAGCCAAGGATTTCTTCAACTCCAAATTTCATACTTTCTCAAGCTGTATTATTGCATTCTCAAGGGACTTATAACGGCTGGAAAGTACAGATAAACCCCAATAACTGGAAATAAACCAGTTCCTCGCACTAAAAGGACTAATCAAATGGTTAACTACCTTGTTCTCTCCAACTCAAAATAGCTCAAACTGGCAATTTAATTTCTCAATACCAAGCTTGCCCTCAGTTTGGAAATTTTGCTTGCAGTAGTTTCAATAAATATACTAGCTCTAAGTTGTTCATAAAATAGATTGAACCCCCAGCAATAAGATGATGTTTTCTATAAACACCTTCAGACACTTAGACATGGTAACAAACCAGTGAAAGTATGAAGCATAAGGTGGGCAGAAGACCGACACAACTAGATATCATGTGATAGTGATAATGCAAAATTGAAATTGACATCGATGAACTACATAAAGACAGTTGCAAACTCATAATCTATTAAAAATTAGAAATTAAAGTTCATGTACATTTTTGTAAAAGAAAATAAGCAAACTATTTTACCTCGTGGCCACAGTAAACTCGAGTTGGATTCGGCAATGAGCCCAATGTTACACACAGTGATTGATACATTTGTTCTGCTGTGCCTTCAAAAAATTTTCCACAACCAGCTATAAACTACAAAAGAGAGGAAAAAAAGGCGCAACTTATTGCCTTAAGCACAAACATACAAGAAAAAAGGAATAAAATTTAATTCCAACACAATGACAACTGCCCAGTTACGATCTCTAGTGTAAAGAGCTTTGATGAAAACTTAAAGCAAGTATCTTTGACTTACCAATGTGTCTCCAGTGAAAACAGCAGGGTCCTGTTCTCCCTCTTTGCTGGTCACATAATAACTTATGTGACCTTTGGTGTGGCTGGTTGAGAATAAAAAAGTGAGGCATCCTTACTAAAATAAATCCATCTTCAAGTAGAGGAATCTGAAGACAGAAAAAGCATACCAAGGCGTGTGAAGAGACAATATATTGATATGAGCACCAAGTGAAATGTTATCACCATTTTCCACTTGATGAGTACAGCCCCTAACATTGTCAAGTGAGCCACCATAGACCTTAATTCCAGGCACTATCTGTTTTATCTTATCATTCCCACCAGCATGGTCCCTGTATGCTTAAATCGGTTCAATACCCTTTTTAACAATAAAATTGTAAAATTAAAAAGAAAGAAACTTTCTATGTGGGCTATTTTGTTACCAGTGATGATGGGTGGTAAGAACGAGAGTGAGCTGGGCGCCATGTTGTTTGGCAGCATCAACTATCTTCTGGGGCTCAACCGGATCCACAACTGCCGCCTCCTTAGTGGTCTCATCGATAATCCTGCAAAAAATCAAATCAAAATCAAATCTTTTAATCAACATAAACACCATAAGCTGAAAATGAATGATGGGTTAATTACAAGTAGGAGTAATTGTCTTCTAAGCAAGGAACGTGGAAGATTTTCATGGCCGGTTCGTTGAGTTCTGTGCTGCAAGTTCAAAGTCTTTGATGCACTGGATTGTCAGACCAACAAGAAAGGAAGAGACACGTAATCAGCCGGACTCTTCCATCAACCAGCCACGTCGCAGTCTAAAGCAATTACGTTAGTCAAATATCATTAAAGTCCCATATACGTAAATATTTATGCCAAAGCCCTGATGGTGGACTCTGGAAGGCAAATAGAGTGTTTGGATGCGGGAATAAGTTTATACCGGTCCAAGTCCAACTCTGCGTTTGTTAAAATAAAATAGGAGCAGCAGAAGCGGCTGAGGTACAAATAATCATCAGCGGAATTGTAATACCAATAGCGATAGAGAGATGGGGAAGCAACCAGTGAAGATGAAGGCGGTGGTGTACGCGCTATCGCCGTTTCAGCAGAAGATAATGCCCGGCCTATGGAAGGATTTGCCCGACAAGATCCATCACAAGGTTTCCGAGAACTGGATCAGCGCCGTCCTCCTCCTGGGCCCTCTCGTTGGCACCTACACGTAATTTTTCTTCTCTTCTTTATCGATTGTGTTTTTTACCCATTTTAATTTCTTATGAAATTTCCTATAGTTGCGATTGTCTCCTTGAGCATAGTTTAACTTAGGGTTTTACCACTTCCAATAAATCTAAATATGCCTGCTTTTGATTGCTTTTATACACTAAAAATCCTCCTTATTGCCATTAATTCTAATGTGCTACTGTCAATTTGTTCCATCTGTAATTGAAAGTGATACATCGCAGATCTAATTTCATGTTAATCCCTATAATATATGGGAAATCGAGAAATTGGATGTGAAAAAGATTTTTCTTTTTTTAATTATTCAATATAGTTGGCTCTATCAGTTTGTGTTTGGTTGATTTTTTGGAGCGTGAAAGGTTTAGTAGAAGCTACTTCGTATTGGGTTATCAATTTGTGTGCATAATTTAGAACACTGAGGAAAGGAAATTTTTTTACCTGAATTTTGCATTGAATTGGCAATCAATCAAGCCTAGGGTTATCTCCATCACTGAATTATTTTTTGGCTTGGAGAAATTTCTTTGGTGGAGACTGAACGTTGGTGAATATACAGAAGTTTGTCTCTTTTTTATATTCATATATGAACCTTAAACTCATCTTCTATATGTTATAACTTGAGATTCCTCTTGGGAATTTACTGAGTTTAACGCGGCAAGTTTGCAATTTGTGCAGGTATGTCCAGAGATACCAGGAGAAAGAGAAGTTGGAACATAGGTATTGAGTGAAGTAAGTGGATGTTCCTCCGTTGTACTGGAAGAACTTGCAATTGGCTGGCAACTTTGTTTTAAGTTGTACAATTTTATGAACTATGTTATGCTGTTGGGGCAACAATAGCATTAATTTGATGGTTTCTTTAATGGATGTTGATTATTGTGAACTCCAAACAAAGGGTTTTTTGTTAAAATAAATTTGACCATTTGATTGTTTTAGATTGAATGGTTTTTTTCTCCCTGTAATCTTGCATTAAGAATTTTGACACTGCATGTCTGCAACTAGATGATTGTAAGTTATCATACCCTGAGCTGAAGGATATGGGATGTTTAAACTCGAACCAGAACCAATATGGAAAGCATCATTGATACAGAAAAAGGCGAACACTAGACCCAAAATCACTCTCAGAGAGGAAGCAGGTAGTAATATTTGATTAGTTTTATGAAATCTTTCTGTTTCACTTGTGATCTTGCTGACCCTCTAATCTATTTTACTCCAAAGCATGTTAGCTGCCCTTCGATTTTGCTTAATCACGAGGTTGATTGAGAGCTCACTTTGTCTTACTAGTTTGTTCATTTGTTTGAATCATCTTCTTGAGTGATGGTAATAATAGGGAAGCACAAGCACTCTACATA